GCCTGGTGCGGCGGCTCGCCCAAGAATCACACGAAATCTGGCGAAGGTCTTTTTTGCCGCGTGCGTCCTCGTTTGATGAAGTATTTCTCAGAGGAACAGTTTCTGAAAATGTCTCAGAAAGGTGCACAGTTCGGTTGCCCGGTGAAAGGTCCTAGCAGAAGGTATGGTGGGCGTGATGGCTTAGAACTGTCAAACTTCCACAAGTTCGATTCAATTTATATGGATAGTTGATTTGCTGAAATGTGGTGCAGCGGGCGGCGCGCGTACGCTGTTGTCATGCCAAAAGAATCGCGACCCCTTTCTTTGATTAAGCTAGTTAGGCGCTGCCAGGACTGGAGCAATTAGTTTCGGCTACATTGCGCTGTCGGTTTGCTTCACAGTTTAGCGCCACCCGTTACTGCTGTGATGGCCTTTGCGACCGCGCCAGCCACCCGGCGGATAGAGGCGCCTGCAGCGGTAGTATCCTGTGATGAAAAGTATAGCTGCATACAACAGCCGATGCACAGCCAACACGGGACCCAGATATTTTTGTTGCGCTGCAGCGGCCGTTCGGCCCCCCTTTTAAAGATTACCTCGCGCTGGTTCCCTCCGAAATTCCCAACCACTTCCGGAACGTACTTCCTGCTTATCATAATGATCCATTTTTTCATCACAGGCCCTGACAAATCCGACCTTCAAAAACGGCACACGGGTCAATTCTTTTGCGCCAAAGCAGTGGGAAGAAGCCCGAACCTCGCAGACGCCTGCCGAATTCTGCCGCCGTCATCTCCGATGGCGCGGCCCAGCCAATTGCTTCGAGTTTTTTCACCTTCCCAATGCCGTTCCAGACCATCTGCCCCCGGCAACAGTGGCATTTCGCCAAAACGCCTAGCTTATCTGCTATCTCGTCGAACCTGCTTTGGGATAGATCAGCCTATCCGAAATCCCCCTCAAATCCTCGTCAGAATCTTTTCGCTATGGTCGATCGCCCCATGAGGACTTTTCACCTTCAAGCGCCCTGCAAATTTCCAGCAAAGACATTTGTTGAGACATTCGCACAGCTGCTCTTTCTCTAGCACTATTGGGCCTTCCCACACCTGGATTAATTTGATGAGCTGTTGTACGATGCCCGGATTTGCCCCAATTGTAGTAGCGCCAAGAAAAAAATCCGTGCCGAGCTGCTCATTTCAACATGCCCTTGCCCAAAAAATCTTGAAAAAAGCAGCGCGCTTTATTCAAGCAATGGTAAACCGCCGCCAATTATGCGCATCAGATAGCGCGCCAAGAATTCTCTACAGGAGTGTGCCTACTGAGAGCCAAGCCCCCCCAGACTATGACAGTTTTTGATCAGCCATGTGAATGTACAAAGATCTAGGCTGCACAAAACGGCCCTAAGAACTTTCGGAACAACGCTAATTATATTGCGCATTACTATGGTTTGTCGGTGCGAAGCTCGATGTTATCCTCCGCCCCATTATATCAGATTGAAATCGCCCACGCCGAACCTATCTGGAAAAGCCAGCATGTGCCCGCATGCAGAACACAAGGCAGTGCCCCGCTAGCCACGTTTTGCACTTGACGGACTGCAACTAGCCACATCGGGCATGGATTCATCTTTTCCAAAAACCTGGAGACATAGGGATTGCTAGGAAAGCAAAGAGCTTAGGGCTGCGGGTTACTATATCATTCGAAAGCTAGTACCTTCGCCTACGTATTCGTGAAACTCGACTAATCTAGGCATAGAGGAAATTTTCCTGCTCAACTGACTCAGTATCTGCGTATAATGTTTTATCAAAGAGGAAGTATTAGGTTCAGGAGTCCAATGAAGGAAGAACGAAAAACGTTTCGGCCTAGAGGAGCTCCATAATGTTTATGCTGCACAAGGAAAGCAGGTGGATGAAGTCAAACGATGTGTCTGGTCACAGAGCCGAACTTTTTTCGAGCATCCTCGCGAGACTGACATCTCTGCTGCAACCGTTGTCCGAGTTATGTCCGAAAGATTGAAGATGGTCAAAAAGGTGTGCGTGTACTCGGGACCGAAACTCATATGAACCACTGCACGAATGCAGATGAGAAGCACCCCGATTCCTGTCACCAGGAGTTACGACGGCCCAAGCAGATAATCATAAAGGCAATAGACTCCAGCACTGTATCTTTCAAACGGCTCTACAGAAGGTACAAAATCGTCAATGTCGAGGCCTATTTCCTGTTATTCGACAATGAGATCGGCAAATGGATGGTACCACACAACTACGAGGAGGCCACTATGCTCGTTACAGTGCCAGGCCCCGAGTGATCGTACTTGACGACAAATCACAGAAGTTACATTGGTTTGAATTGTCGAGCTTATTCCATTAGTGATTTCTTCCATGAGTCATTATATACTTGCTTGTAACTACAACAACTGTATAACTTGATTTATAGCTAATCGATGAACAGTTCAAAGAATGCCAGTGAGGAAGCGTCAGAGCAGTGATGGGCAAAAACGGCGTACTGTTCAAGCAGCAGATGGCCAGCTGGGAAATCAGACGGCTGTCAAGTCTTCAACAATCTTCCGAATTTCTCTTCTACTCCTAGTGCTCGATATATCTCTCGATATTCCGGCCTCATCGTTATTCCTAGATCGTAGTTGTTCCAGTAGTCCCTTTACATTGCACGGCTTCTCCTTTGATGGATCTGATTACCGTAGCTGTTTGAACGTGATGGATTCTTTAGCGCCTTCTTCAGTTGTGTCTATTCGCTCTCTAATTAACTCTTATTATTCGTGTTCATTCCCTTATTGACAGCCTCCTATTTCAGTTACCATATCGCCTGTAATAATTACAATATATGTATATATTAACCAGTAGTTCTTTTTTAGTTTATTAGGATAAAGTTCAATTACCCAAGCTTGAGGTTGTCTTCTCAAGTTGTCTATCCCGCGTGGCATTCTTATCTAGTAGAAGAAAAGGTTATCTTCAGTAGAAGAGAATATCCTCAGTATTAAAGGCACAGTTCGCACCGCAAATTGCCGAAAACGGAACTCAGGATAGGACACAAAAAAGTAGCTAAGTATCTGATTAGCGGAGGAAAGCAGCAGAAAAAGCAGTCCGAAATGTTATAGAGAAAGATAACATAGTGGTTACTAGCTAGTAGCTAGCAGCCGGTGAGGGTCGGCATGGGCCTAAGGGGTGGTCCATGGGCCTAATTAGTCAGCTTCTAGCGGAGTTCTTGCCGTTTATCACATTTTGGAAGTAGCGCAGCTTCAAAAATCGCCTTCCGGATCGTCCGACACATTTGAGAGGTCATAGCCTTATTTTATCGCGGATTGTGCCTTTAATGGGCAGTACTCGGGCACAAGCAATACTGAGACCCTGGGTTCAACCGCCTTAATCGTCCGACCTATAGCCGTGCAGTTTGACCTGTCCTTGTCTGGAAGGTGCTGTCCAACGGCAAATGCTACAAAGTTCTGTCATTCGCAGAAATTGGCATCAAGAGCAAGTTACTCGCAGTTGAAAAAAAAACGAAGGCGTCAGTGGTCCAAACGCCCGACACTGGAAGGAGGTCATCGATAAAAGAGAAACCTACTTAAGATTAAGCCAAAATATTGCTTCTTTTCATCTGTTTTCCTCGATGCTTTAGTTGAATAGAACCTTCTACGTTTTTGAATGGGATGACATAATAGGATTCCAAAGGGACATCGGATTTTTCTATCCGCGGGATCGGCTACCGCACAAACCAATCAGACCCCCAGCCTTGTCCGGGCGCCTCATTAGTACCAGATTTAGGGAGACGTACAAGAGGCAATAGTAATACGTCGCGCTGTATTTGATGTGCACAGTTTGTCGATTGGCAACGAAATCCGCTTGAATTCAAGCAGAGACAATATTTCATGACTGGCAATACAGTTTCCCCATCCCTTTCACGCTCGCATTCAAACGGCCGCATAGAACAACTTGTCGGTAGGGAGCGGCGTCGCCCGCCACGCCCACCGGCGCGGAATATTACCATTTTGTTTTTACATACTCCCAGATTAGTCCGTAGCCTGGAGGGACGGGGGCTGCGAGGGCGGGGAATGGGAGGGAGAAAGGGGGAGTTTCGCCGAAATTCGTAAGTTCCATGGACGTAGCCGCATTGGTAAGAACTGACAAGAGGAATAGAAAGGGGGGGGCAGGACGGGAACTACTCGTGAGTGGTTCGAAGTAATAATAGCTGATCAAAGCTGATAAGAGGCGTTAAAAGGGAGGCTCCTAATTCATAGCGTACGTCGTAGCATCCGTGGGACGTCGGTTCTAAGAAATGATATAGAAGGCGAGACGAGAACTTTACTGATGAACGATAGAAAGCGATAACAGTTGATAAGAGCGGATAAGAGGTGTGAGAGTAGAAGCCCCATAAAACTGATTGCGTACGTCTTATTGTTAGTAGCAGGGGTATGATCCTAACAAGTATGAACCGTGTATAGCGAGGACATCCATGATGGTGCATAGATCGTGTGGTGAATTATTTATCAGTAAGGGCTGATAATGGTCAGTCTGTGCTTCTCCTCCGTGCCGTTATCACTATACTGCGATCACTGCAGCTCACGTATAGAAAGGCAGAGACTCAGTGTGACCATTCGACCTCTAAACTCTTGTGTTTCGACGGAAAGTAGTTGCTTTCAGAGGTGTAATTATGGCCAATCAGGAGAGATCAGTAGTATCCTTGAGAAATACAAAGGTTGGGCTGGGATTTGGTACAAATATTGAGGTCGGTACAGATATCCCGTCAGCTATCAGTTTAAGGGTTCACCAGGTGCGCGCAGTGATCATCAACCTCAATACAATCTTGCTCTATTCAAACAAAGGGGCGTTCCTCCGTCCACGTTCGCGAGCGGTCCGATGGAATGGTAGAATGGCTGCCTCAGCTCTCTTTAAATCGACTCTGTGTTGATACACAGCCGGCGCTCTATCTAAACACTCCTCCGTCTCTAGTCTCGCCAAGCGATAAGCGTTGACGTGCCCAATCAGCTATGTTTCACCAAAACCACATACTCACTCCTGTCAGTTGCACTGAAATTCAATGTATTCAAGAAAAATTCAGAAAAAAAGGCAAAAATAAACAGAACAAAAAATTTTCAAAGGTAATTCCATGCAGGAATGATGCAAAAATTTTCACTTCCCTTTCCTCTTTGAAAGCGGGCGAACAAAAACTGCTCCTAGTAGTTGAAAACAGCAGAATTCAGCTGATTGCGCGCGTCATTAACTATCGATCGGCGAGAATCCAGACGTTAGAGTGTGTAGACAGTGCGTCGGCGTGTGTATCAGCGCTGAGTCGATGACAGAGAGCGCATAGGCAGTCATGATAACTCGCTCCAGACATTCGTCACTCCACCGACACGCAGCCGTCAGAACGCTTGCCAACGTGGACGTGGAAACGACCCTTCGTCGAAAGAGAACCAGTCTATAGTCCAGTTTAAATGGTATCCTCTTATTCATTCTGTCTACCGCCCTGAGTGGAAGAACTACTTCACCCTCCTTCATGAACTCCCCACTCACATGCTATTTCTTCCTATTTTTTTTTGTATGGACTCGCGATAAAAAGAATACACGCTCAGTGGACATTTCTCAACATAGTTTTGCGTTCTTCACAACTAACCTCCCAATGATTGATGAAAACACCGCCTTGTATGTTTCCAAAGTATACTGCAGCTAGTGGAATATTTTCGTGGCAGGACCTGCAATGAGCGAACTAAGTCTTAGAAAATTAATTCTGGAAAGAATGTCTTGCAAGGAAATAATGGAACTCACACGACTTGCTTTGAAAAGCATGAAGCGGAGTGGACAATTACTGTAGCTTTGAAATGGTGCGGTAGTCGTTGTTTTTGTATATCGTAGAGAAATTGACGAATCGCAGGCAATAAGCGTTCCGGGAATGTCCGGCCTTTTATCTGAAAAATTCATTGTCGGGTAGAGTCCTTTTCCACCTCGCCAGAAAGGTGAAAGGTAATTAGCGAGGATGATTCCTCAACAAAATTCGGAACGAACCTTGTCTGCGGGAGAGGCGGCGGTACCTCTAATGTCCATCAAAACAATTTTGCGCTTAATCTCGATCAATTCCGGCAGAGGGAAAGAAAGTGTGCGATCGGGCGAGTTCTCGCTTGCTGGTAACAGCTCCTTCTCCTTGTCATCCCTCCCTCACCATTCGGACTGGAAGGAGCTATTAGCGGAACAACCGCACCACCAAGAAACCTTAGCAATGAAAGTTGGGCGTTGCGGTGGTCAGTGGTCGGAGCGGCGGCCTCGTCGCGACGTCTTCGCACTCTCCTCACTTATTTCTCAGTGCAAAGCTGGTGCATTCTCTATGCTAACTGGCATAACTACCTTGTCCAGAGTACCCCTGCCTCAGTAAAACGTACCCGAACAGTTTTAGGGGCCTTGGTTACTTCTCACGCCTTTATCAGCTTCTTACCAGCTGTTATCGCTTTCTTGTCCAGAGAGTGGGCTGATCACGAAGGCCTTGCTTTAGTCAAAGATATTGTAGTCTCTTGATGCGCTGACGATATTTCGCGACCTTAATCCCAGCTTTCAGGAAAATTCTGTAAACATCGTGATGCGACATTTTTTAAACACCTGACGACAATTCGCGTTTAGCGAGAAGAGCACGTGGGACAAAGGCGTTTTTCCGCACGCGTATGCTATGAACCACCGGTGGTCTCATATGCCCCCTCGTAGACCACTGTTATTGCAGCCTGTCCAATTTCGCGAAATGATTGAGGAGTCGTGACGGATATCTATTTCAACCTATCAACGCCCGCACGTGACCGGGCCAAAATCCAGTCTATACTCTTCTGCTTCTTAAAGGCCAGCGCCCACGTTTTCATTTGATGTTCCTGCGCCCTTTTCTGATGTCACACCCTCCCTATAAGACGCAGTAGTATAATTTTTCATCTCGGAGAGGCGCAGAGGATAGCGCCTATCGCGACTCGTAAAGAGTCGACCGCCCCGCCACCTGGGACCCGCTACGCTCCAACTCATTTCTAATGGTTGCCTGATGGTGCCGGTTTGCTTCCATTGTCGCTTCTCTCCACGTCGTAGGTGAGAGTGAGGTGGATAAGGGAAAACAGGCTGAAATCAACAAGTGAGAACTCGTGCAACATTCCTCTTCGCCTTAAGCTCGCTAACAATCGACTATTCGGTATGATACTCCTTTATAGGCATTTTCCATGTTTTCTTTTAGATTTTTCCACACTAATAGGTTTCTTGCTACCTTGCTATACTAACTGAGCCGCTTACGCATTCAAACTTGAACGCGGGCGCTGCCTCAGTACTTTTTGCTTATCTTACCTTTTCACACACGAACAATTAAATCATTAATTGGCCATACCGACACCAGGCAAATCCGCTCAACCTTATAACAGGTTTTGTAAAAATTAATTGGTTTTCAGATGGCTTTTTTCAATGGTGACGTTTTCAAACCACTCTACACATATTTGGCCAGCACTTTAAATGAAGAATGACCGTATTCGCGACAAGTCAAAGTGATGTCAAATAACCCAGGTATAGAGTTTCTATCGGGATCGGTCGCAGAAAACACTAACGCCGAAAACTGGCCGCCCAATGGCGCCGATAACAAAAACAATGTCAACTTTTATGATCACAGCCTCACCCATGTCGATGACAGTCAAGGGTTTCTTCTAAAAAGAAATAATTTGGAAGTTTCTGCCGCAGCAGTAGCTATATAGCTGCGAAAACTTTAATCTTTAAATTTGAATTTCTCACGGTGGCAGCAACATTTTTCGTGGCGCTCATATCGGTTCGTTATATTTGCCTTTCACAATTGAGCAAAATCAAACAAAGAGAGCGATTCAATACTGGATAGCATTATCCGAGGTGGAGGAGAAAAGTTAGAGCAACCGTATGACTTATAATGTCGTCAATCGTCTGTCAGAAATGCTGCCAATGAATTATAGGGCAACTCTCGCTAACGAGGACGTAGTCCCGCTTGCTTGTTAGCGGAAGTCCGCTCTACCGTTATCAGCTCAATGGCTTTTGGGCCATAGCCTCGCAGCAATCCACACGCTAAAGACAGCCCCCGCGCACAAGTTATCACCCCCCCCCCTATTCATGGTCGTCTTTATTTGTGCAAGTAGTCCAGCCCCCAAGGTAATAAGCTGTCCCACCTTCGCCACTCCACAGCGAGCGAGGAGCGTGCTACAGCCGCTGGAACTCTAGTTCTAACACCCGCTCAGTTGGGCCACCCACTTGTTAGATGCCCCCTGATGGAGGGCCGCTCTTTTGTTCTTTGTTGGGGTGGCGGGCATTAATCGTAATTGCATGGCCTTTTTGCTGACCGTCCTCATGCATATGAGTAATTCCGCTCTCCTTCTTTACATTTTATTCTTTGGGAGCACATACAGTCGACTCTAACCCATCTCGCAAGGTAAAACGCATAAAAATCACGAGCGATGCAATATTCGTGGTGCAAAAGCTCGACGCACTAAACGACGTAATCTTGACTTCTAGAGGCCAAGATTTCAATGTTCCTCTTTGTCATAGGTTTTTCGTCCGTGTTTCTGCTGTTTTTTGTACTCTTTGCTTTGCACTGGATTACTACCGGGAGATGCGAAACAGCGATTTATGACAGGGGCTGCACAGAGACCGCAGGGCGGTGTGACTGTCAGGGAGCGATTCTGTTTATGTTGCTCTTGTGGACTCTTTTTGTTTATTTCTAGAATTTACTCATAAGCGACTGTTTTATAATTGAACAGCAACTATCCGTTCCACTTAATTGCGGGACCTGTTTTTCACGTGATAAGCCGGTTAGCCGATATCGGCACTGAACTGCGAGGCTAAGGACTTTATATCACTTGAAAACAGTTCCCGCGATGAAGTGCTACGGGCGCCCTGGGGGGTAATGGATAGCGCACGCGCCCGATTCGGGAGGGGATCCGGGTCTGCTCTTCAGTATTAGTCTTCAAGGCGGCGTTCAGACTTCGCGACGGTAGCGCCTCGCGCGTTCGGCGCGATCGATGCGCATGCTTTCGACTGTATCGATCGCGTCGAAAGTGCGACCGACAGGGCACAGCATCGTGGTGTGTGAGATAGTGGTGTCTGTATGACCCTCCACCTCGATGGAGAGTTTCGGTACGACCCTTCACCTAAAACGACCCCCCTTCCCCAACACCTACCTACCACCTTCCTACAAGCTCCCTACCAGTTTTCTGGAACTTCCCACATCTTCCAGTTTTTCACAAAAATCCTGCTGCAGTGTGGTAGTGGTGGGGGGGGGATATATAGCCTGTCAAAAAACCGGGGAAAATTTTTCCCCAACACGGCAAATTTCTCTCAAGACACATACGACCTCTCCCATCATTGACCAAATACGACTCCCCTCCTGCCCAGCGGCCATGTACGATCCCCCATGTGTTTCACACAACGAT